CATCCACGTGCCAAAGCAGAATGACGAGACCAGACGACCTTAAAGTACGAACATCTCTCACACACCGGTCCAGTGGTATTATCTGAGGTAATTCGTTGTTATCTCTAAAATAAAGAATGAATATTGTGGTAGGTTGCCTACTCCGACATTATTCATGTAGCTTCTTCCATCAGTGGTTGCTGTGGTTACACTGGGTCACTCTACAGATACTTTGATGTTGACTGGTTCGGAAATATATTCAAAATGAAACTCTTCTCCAAAGATTATAACAGGGCGACACTCACACATCAGAGGTCTCTCTATGTACAGCTATTCCTGGTATTTCAATTAAGAGCGTTACCAGTAGCCAAAGTCCTGCCATCTAGTTAATTTGAATATTAATTTCCCAAGATGCTGATACATTTATTTCTACAAAGAGATCATGGTTAAGTAGTGATAGTATTCTAGGCTTGAACCAGTAGTTTGCCGTCTCGGGAGAGAACTATGTCTCCAGTAACCTAATGTCTTTATTGGAAACTGGACCAGCTTTTTATTCCATCATACACAACTTAAATCTAGTCTTGTAATTCTGATTCAACGTACGAGGTATCTGGTTATTTCCACTCTTCAGGAGAGCCCAACACTAATGAGGTCGAGCCGGATCAGGTTGGCCACCACAGTATATGTAAATCTCACCTTATGGAAACAGCTAGATCATTCGAGGCTGTATTTATGGGTGAAAGAATGCCACGTCTAGTGCTCAGGATAATAATCTTGTTCCGTGACATAAGTTTAAGCTGGCATCTATCACACGGTTGAATTATCTTTAAGAATCTAGACTCCGACCCAAGATTGTGAACCTATTAATATGTCCATTTAGAATTCCTACGTGTGATAACTTCTCGTTCTCATCATGACATTCCAAGTTGGACTGTGCATTAAAAAGTCGTGAGATAGATTTTCAGATTGCTTGCATATAACTATTTGCAAGAGCAGACTCTAGTCAAAGACAGGCAATGAGAATTTTCAGTTATCGAAATAAATTTTCCAGATAGATCTTGGTCCATCCGTGAATTTCTTGTTGGTTGTGATTTGAGATTAGAACTTCGATTCTTATGCAGTCATCAAATCTTTGCATGCTAAGTGTTGGATAAACATGCCAAGCATGTTACCTTCAAGCTGATGAACAATCTCGTCGGGCTTGTCCCATATTTATTCGTGAGCTACTATTGACTCAGAGAGTATGTGTTTAACACTCTAGATCATTGAGCTCAGCTCTAACAGAATGTCAGCCTTCAACTTCATAGTCCAGCCTGGTGCTAGTAAAAATGATAGTTCATTAAAGATACTGGTAATGTCTGCCGGCTGATGCCTAAATTAGTCGTGGACTTTACTGCCATCATAGTATGACTCAGCAAAATTTAATGGGCCTGTGCACGAAGGTTATACGAGATTGGGGCGGTGTTATTTCAGGGACAAGCTAAATTACATGGGCAGGTAGACCTCGCTAAGCATCCGAAAGCTTTGTGGCTATACCGTGCATTTAACGCGCTCGCCGGGGTCAGGTACCTCCATTTATCATACTTATGGTTTAGTCATCGAAGTGGATGTACATTGCGTTACAAAAATAGGACTCACTTGACCCGCTCAGGTGGGCCATCCATGCTGATTCGGGACTAATAATGCATTTAGATTGCGACTCTGCTCTTATGAGTCACTTGTTGCTCTGGTTGACTTTGGTCGGATGGATGCATCCGCAGGCGCAAGATTTCGTCAAGCCTGCGGCAGGGCACTAACGAGGCAGGAGCGCAGCAGCATGAGGGGAAGAACCATCTGCCAAAAAGTTGTTCAGGGAGGCACATGACATTTTCAGGCGAGTCCTTTCGGAATCTTAGCCGTTGGAGTTCGCCAAGCTAGTGTGATGGTCTCAGCGCTTGCAATTCTCCAAGAATCAGTGCAGTTACGGAAAAAGACATTACACACATGCGGAAGCTAGATAACCTCATCTCCATGGCTTGACCTTGAGATCCACACACGGATCCCCTTCACCGGAACCTACACCCGACCCAACATGCCGCCCAAGTCTCGCTCCGACAGCGCTTCATCCGGCGATGTCTCAGCCTACGTGTCAATGGCAAGACTGATCAGCTGAAGTTAAAAATAAAGCTTCCACCTGCCAGTAGGAAGAGTTCAAGTTCTTGATGACAGGGATTCACAAGAACATATTGATGTAGTAAAGCTAAAACACAAGCCCTCCGTTTTCTCGCTGGTGATTCACTAACGCAGACATTGATAACTTTTCAAAGAATGCTCAGGTGTTACATCGTTCATCGACTGTTTTAATTAGTGTTTCAATAGTTGCAGCCTAGACTCAACGAATGGTACCACTAAGCAAACATTTACCAACCAAGCTAAGGCAAAATAATTAGCAGCTAATCGACAGTCCAACTTCGCCTAGTCTACTTTAATCAACCACTTCGGCCCGAATTTCATTTCATCATCTGATCCAATAGCTTTTTCACATGAAAAGGAACGAGGAATGTGAGGACCAAAAGACTTTACAACCCACAATGGAGTAAAGTGAACTTTTGTTGTAGTACCCTCTATATTTTGATAGATCTTTGGGGCGATCCATTGTAGGCATTTCAAGACTATTGTTTTTAATTCCAACCATCCCATACTGCCATGTTGGTAATGTTTTAACTGGCTTCGACCTTGACCGAAATTCAAGCGAAAATATGAGTTGAGCCAACACACAACATACTAAGCCTTTCTCACCTGTCCTGTACCAAAAAGACGTTTAAGTTGCAGAATAAAAACCCTCAAGTCACGGGGTGGAAGAGCTGATTCATTCAGTTTGATCTCAAGTTAAAATTAAATAAAGAATCACCAGTTTTGCGTATTCAACTAGGGGCCAAAACTAAATGCCTATCTGCAATGGACTACTTGGGCCTCTAGCTCTAGCCACAGAGCATGTAGAGCTGAAAATTGGTCCAACTTTAGATAGAGATACTGCTTTTGTCAATAAGCCTACGGTATTCTTCATTACCGGAGACGTCGCTGAAAAGTTTGGCTAGGTGTGAAGGGACTGATAATATTAGCTATTCGCAAAGGTGTGCCGTAAATTGAGTTGTACTCTGTAGAATGAAAGAAGTACTGCGAAGACTACATGCTTATCTACTCAATACGCGCGTCGCATACGAATTTATGCATGAATTATCCTTTACACGACCCCTTAATCCAGCCAAGCTGTGTACTCTAAGACCTCGCGATAAATGAACCGGATAAACTCTAGTTATAACTAAATTAGGCATTATCCTGTAATACTAGGCTACTCAATAGCACCCACTTTCTATCAAGACACATCCAGTATTTCCTATGGCGCCATTGTCAGGGGTTTGATTAACATCAGGAATGCAAATTGTGATTCTCTTGTGTGTTTTTTATTGTACTACTTGAGTCTATGACTATATAGTACATTGGGCTCCTCTCTGACCCAGGCCACACCTTGTACAGCGCTCCTATCCTCTTTTGTTACTTGAAAGATCATTGATATATTCCCCTTGATGAATAGCCATCCAGCTCAGTATTTACCCGTGAAATTCAGCCAACTTTTCCACGGAACCTTCTACCCAAAAAAATAAAATGGCAGCAATGGAAACTGCGTGCGCGGGAAAAAGTCTCAAAAAACCTGCAGCTCCAGCCAGGAGAGGCATAGACACTAGGACCACATGAGGTGCGCATATTCATCTATATCCCCCTTCTTTGTAACAGTCGAGTCCGACTTGGTCCAATCTACCATCTCCGTATCGGGTGCTGGGTACGCTCCGGAAACTCGTCGGATGGCATCTCCATGATCAAGGGTTAGTGACGAGTAGGGCTACGACCTTACCATCTGATTTGATCGTGGTTAGCTTCATGATAATGGTGATAGGGGAATGTGTTGAGAGATGAAGATGATACAGACCGCGAAAGCGATTGGGAATCCTCTTCGAAGTGAGGACTTTGTTACTCAATCTCGGCTCTGCAGACTCTACACTAAGAGCTGAAGGTCCGAGGGGGATACCACCAACAGGTTCAGAAAATAGTCACCCAAAAGATATTGACTGTAATCTGTTACATGAATAGCTATTTCTCTGTCTTTATAAATTATTTCAAATACTCAAGGGGTGACCGCCAACACCATACTATGCCCATATGTTGTGAAAGTGTACACTGTGTGACAGAGATATATAAAGAAGATATCATTATTGATAAATAATGTAGCTCGTATATGATACTGTCTAACTAATGTGTAGTGAAAAGTGTTATGTACATGCTTTTGTCAAACAGACCCATTACACAAACGCCAAGGCTATGAACACGTGATTCGGATTTATAACACCATAGCGATAAAAACTGCAGCGCGGCTTTGACTACGTGGGATTTACACTCTGATAAGTAATTGTAACAATCTATTGCTCGTCACACGCAATAGATTGTGATGGATCGTATCTGGGAAGCTTGAAGCTGAGAGCCTAGCTGTACACTGTCCAATTTATATTCCGTGCAGATTCACATATCTGATGAAAGAATATAATGTAACAATAATTATTATCGTTCTACACTATTTTCGTGCGAAAGAATGTTCGGGCTCACCGGTGAGAAAAGAATTACCTATATATATCACAATCTCGGGCTCAATTGTGACCCAACTACGGGCCTGTCCCAAGCTCGAAGCAAGGTAGAGCTTGATTCAGGGCTGTTATTAACTGAAGCTTGAAGGATTGGTCGACGAGCCGTTGTTGGGCTTAGTAATTTACTAATAATCTTCTCTGTCAGTCCCATCATTCCCGTTTCCTAGCGTCTGGTGCCCAGTGCATGATCTCGATCATTAAGCCCGAAACAAGCAAGGGCCTGCATGAAGCTTGGACTACATCTACAGCGCTGTTCGCTTTCGTCATTCCCATCTACTCAAGTAATGCTTACGAAGACCCCTCAAATCTATTCGTTATTCACGTTGTCTAATAACAAAATTTAGCATGGGAGGAGAAAATTCTGAGGCTTCAAAGCCAGAAACAAACTATCCTAAGCTTGCTGAGCGACCTGTCGGGCAATGGGTGCCTGATATCTACAAGAATCGAATTGAAAGATTTTATGAGAACGGCCAGTATGGCGAGGTTAATCTTCGAGCGTATGCTTTTCTTAGAATCTCAAACATTATGCCAAAAAGTTACTGATAATCATGTGGCATCATAGTATGATGTATGAGGGAGTAGTCTCAGGATATCCTCACGTCAAGATCTCCGTATGGGATGCACCCGGTCTTTCCCGACCAAATTTTAAAGAAGCTACAAGTCACAATTTTAGACCTACAAGTGTTGGTGAATCATTTGGACCATCATGGTCGACGCATTGGTTTAAACTACAATTAACTGTCCCAGTAGCTTTCATAGACAAAGAGCTGCTTGAACTTCATTGGGATGCAAATAATGAGGGTATGGTCTGGACTGAGGATGGAAAGCCGTTACAAGGACTCACCGGGGGTGGCGAGCGAATCGAATGGGTACTACCAGAAAGTTTTAGAGATGGAAAAGAACACACAATCTATATTGAGATGGCCTGTAACGGTATGTTTGGGAATGCTCCAGGCGGTGACAGCATTCAACCACCAAATCCCCAGAAATACTTCCCGCTCTCAAAAGCAGAAATAGTAGTTGTCAATGTCGAGGCTCGTCAACTTCACATTGATGCCTGGATAATTGGAGATGCTGCGCGAGAATTTCCCACGGACTCATGGGAGCAACATAAAGCTCTTAGGGTCGTCAACGAAATCATTGATACGTTTGAGCTCGGAAACAATGAATCAATTTTAAAGGGACGTAAACTGGCTCAGCAATACCTTGGCAAGAATGTAGATTCAGCACAGGTTTACGAAACTGGGACTATGCCTATAGTCTTTGGAATAGGACATTGTCACATTGACACCTGCTGGTTATGGCCCTGGGCTGAAACAAAACGAAAGGTTGCAAGGTCATGGTCTAACCAGTGTGACTTAATGGATCGATATCCCGAACATAGATTTGCAGTATCCCAAGCACAACAATACAAATGGCTTAAGCAAGAATATCCCTACATTTTTGAGCGAGTAACTCAAAAAGTTCTAAAGGGCACTTTCCAACCAGTGGGAGGTAGCTGGGTCGAACACGACACGAACATGCCAAGTGGAGAGTCACTAATCCGTCAGTTTCTCTACGGTCAACGATTTTTTGAAAGTCACTTCGGAGAGCGATGCAAAACCTTCTGGCTACCTGATACCTTTGGCTATAGCTCTCAGCTACCCCAATTATGTCGACTCGCAGGTATGACCCGCTTCTTTACCCAAAAACTTAGCTGGAATAATATCAACAAATTCCCCCACACAACATTTAATTGGGTGTCACTCGATGGAAGTCAGGTTGTATGCCACATGACACCTGCAGAGACATACACTGCTAATGCTGAATTTGGAGACGTCAAGCGCTCAATTTCTCAGCATAAGTCTATGGACCAAGATGAGACATCTCTACTTGTATTTGGAAAAGGTGATGGTGGTGGTGGCCCAACTTGGGAACACCTTGAAAAGTTGCGACGATGTCGCGGTATGAGTGATACAATCGGAAAACTACCAAGAGTTCACATGGGTAAATCTGTTGATGACTTTTTTGATCAGTTAGAGAGAAAAATCGAGAATGGCCTTGACTTGGTAACGTGGTACGGAGAATTATACTTTGAACTTCACCGTGGTACCTACACTACCCAGGCAAAGAATAAACGTAATAATAGATTTGGTGAGATCATGTTACGTTCAATTGAGTTACTTGCCACTATTTCTAGTACTCAGGCGGGCTATAAGTACCCAAAAGAGAAGATAGATGAAATGTGGGAAGCGGTTCTACTCTGCCAATTCCACGACTGTCTCCCTGGGACTTCAATCGAGATGTGCTATGATGATAGTGATGCTGTGAGTGTAAGCTCCTTTCCAGTAAGTGTCAGGTAAGACTAATGTGCTCTAAGCTCTATACGAAAGTCTTTGAGACAGGGGATAAGATTTTAAAAGAAATCTATGGTGTGCTTGGTATTCAATCCCTCCAGTCAACTAAAAACAAGTTAGTTGCATTAAACACAATGCCATGGTACCGAAAAGAAATTGTCTCTATTGGTGAAGGCCAGATGGGCATTGCTCGTGGTGACGGACAGCTGTTAGAAGTCTGTCACTTTGAATCGGACATGCCTCAAGTTACAGTAAAAGAGACTAGACCCGGTGTATTTGTCCTAAAAAATAGCCAGTTACGGGTAGAGGTTGAGAGAGGGTGTATTATTTCCTTATACGATATCCTTGCGGAAAGAGAGGTAATTCCAAAGGGCGAACAAGCTAATCAGTTTGTAATTTTTGACGACAAGCCACTCTACTGGCAAGCATGGGACGTTGAGGTTTATCACTTAAATTCAAGAAAAGCCCTTTTATCGGGACAAACCAAAATCATTCGTCAAAATGCTCATCAGGTTTGCGTCATGACAGAGACAAGAATTAGTGATGTAAGCCAGGCTAAAACGTATCTTACGCTTTCGTCTGCATTCAAAGGGCATCAGTCATACATCGAGGTTTACAGTGAAATTGAATGGCATGAAAATATGAAATTTCTCAAGGTTGAATTTCCAGTCGAAATTAGAAATACTGAGGCTTCATATGAAACTCAATTTGGAATTGTGCGCAGACCAACGCATTACAATACCAGGTAAGCTCCACTAGAAACTATCATATCAATAATAACTTGTATAGTTGGGATATGGCCAAGTTTGAAGTCTGCTGTCATAAGTTTGCAGATTTATCTGAGCATGGATATGGTGTCTCGATTTTGAATGACAGTAAGTACGGTTTCGCGACCTGTGGAAACCAGATGCGCCTCTCACTTTTACGGGCTCCTAAAGCACCAGATGCTCATGCTCATATGGGCTGTCACCATATTCGCTGGGCAATTCTGCCTCATGAAGGCAGCCTAGGATCTACCACCATTCGTTCAGCTTTCAATTTTAACAACCCGCTTAAAATTTTCGAGGCACAAAAACAGCTACCAAAAGTTGCATACACAAGCCCTATCAGACTAACTGGTAACGCGTCTTTAATTCTCGATACTATTAAAAGAGGTGAAGATGACGAAGACATAAGTTGTAATCAATTCTTACGACGGAAGGGTAAAAGTATAATACTCCGTATTTACGATAGTTTGGGGGGGAGGAGTAGAGGTACTATTGAAACCACGTTTGAGGTGAAGAAAGTGTGGAAAACAAATGTTTTAGAAGATGATGAGGAGCAACTCTCCATAATAGATAGAAAGATCGAGATCAGTCTCAGACCGTTCGAAGTTGCCACTTACAGGTTGCAGCTCTAACACTGAGGCACCAAAAGGTTGGATCAACCATGAAACTAGGATTATATGTCGACTCATCGTCACAATATCTCCTGGACACCTGCTGATGTCATCGTCTTACGGGTTTCTTATAAAGAAAGTCAGGTTGTGTCTGAGATTAAGGTGTGAAAGCTGAATATAAAAATTGTTGAATCTCAATTCAATAAATTTTTCTACGCTATTTTTCTAACCTGTACGTGTAGCACCCATGTTACGGCGTGTGATGTGTTAAGTCAAAATCGCCATCAGCCGAAAGCATCCTAGTTTGATTGCAATTCGTATCAGGCATGTGCCCTACACCCAATAGGCGTGATACGGGTATGTGATCTATACAGACTCACAACTACCCACGTGCATGGCTTTACTTACCAAAAAAGCCATAAGAAATTGTTAGACACTGAGGGTCAAATGAAAAATGTAAAGTAAAGTGGTATTGATGAAATCTCTGCTCCTCAACTCCTCTCCAGCAGTGATGCTATATACCCATCTGAAACTATTTCGAGGAGAGATTATCTTCTCCTCGTTTCCCAAAATTACATATGAAATATATTACATGTGTTGAAGATCAAAAGATCTCATGTTAGAGCTTTGACTATCCTGAACATCCTGAACATCCTGAACATCCTAATCATCCTGAACATCCTAGTCATCCTGATCACCATATCCCTGGTGAGATATCAAAGCTCGAGTTAGTTAATCTGACAAGATGTGTCATCCCACTATCCAATGATTCTCATTACCATATTCAGTAGGTTCCAAACCATCAGATGTTTGACAGAAATAAACATAAGAAAGCAATAAAGTGTGTCCAAACAAAATCGCCCTGCGCCCTGTCCTATTCTTCCCAGCAACTGACTACTAAAATAGCCACTGATACCCCTAGGGGAGCTTATGACTCTCCATCTACGGCCTTTTCCCTGTAACATCTCGTTACAGTTGCAAATTCAATAAAAGTTTCCCAACCTTTTCCTCCAAGCATCTCAATTGCCCTTGGGGGAGGTGCCCGTTTCATGCCTCTCCACCGTTGTGGGGCTGGTCGATATCCTGCAAAGTGCCAAGGGCGTCTTTCTCGACCGCAATCACATTTAGCTTCGAAATTTTCATGCTTGAATCTTTCATGGTATTTGGCGAAATCGCCGTGTCCAGTCCTAGCTGCAATCAGCCTGTGGTAGGCCCATCTCGGTAGAGCAAGTTCTGGGGGTCGCTTCCTAGTCATCATAAGATCTAAGTCCGTATAGTACTTTGGCGTATTTTCCTGCCACCATGCTACTACTTGTCCCTCCGCGCGCTCCCTGACAAACCTGTTGAGTGATGCAAACGTAAATTTTACTCTGCGGGGCACCTCCATGGGGGTAATCTCATTAGTCACCTCATTTGGGGCTTTCATTAGGGCGGCTTTGGCAGGCTTGTCTGCCATCTCATTTCCCTCGATCCCTGAGTGCCCTAGTATACACCGAATTTCCACAGACTGATGTTTTTGACAGGCCTTGACAAATTAGTCGACTATTCCCTGGAAAGATCTAGACCTACCACTGCGTAAGGCCTGGACAGCTTGTAAACTATCTAAGAGTACCTTGATTGAGTTGCTGTCAGCCGCCAGTAGTGCTGCTTCGAGGGCTTTCTGGGCTCCCAAGAGTTCCGCGTCATAAGTCTCTGCACCAAGCAAAGGGCCTGCGCCGCTCCCAATCATTTTTCGTCCTCTGAATAGAGTATAGCCCCATGCAGATTTTGCCAGCTCGCAAGATGAGCCATCTGGGTACGCACATATAGTGTCGGCTGGCAATTACTCTATCTATTGTTTGGATAGAGTGGCTTCAGACTCCTTGTCTAGTGTCGCTGGTTGGTAGCTGCGATCGGATGCTGGATAGAAAAGATTTCCGGACTCTACAGCGAGCGGTACGTTCTGGATGCTAGTCTGCAAGCGTGTCAGGTAGCGCTCTGGATTTTTGAACGATCGGTTCTTCTGTCCTGCGCGGAGTCCTAGGCGGTTTATGGTTTCCTTTTGAACTTCTTGGGATCTGGCTACCAGAGGATGCCACAAGTCCATTTGTTGAATTCGCGCCGCAGCTCTCAATTGCCTTTGCTGAAGGGTGATTGCTGTAGGGAGGATACCAGACTCTCTGCGGAGAACCTTTTTGGTGTAGTTCGCCATGCCGGTTGTGATAGCATGAGGGTCAGGAAAGACTCTGACTAAAAGGCAAAACAATAATATGATTGTAATCTATGAGGAGAGAAAGACATGGTGGCTAACGCAATACTATATACACATAAAAGTGGTTCCTCACTGGTCCAAGCGTACATTGTAGCACGTGATTAGTGTCCTATGACATTACTTTCCTCCCCCGGTTTCATTTATTTGTTTTTCTTTTTCGCATAGTTCGATTTCTTAATGTTCGACCTGTAAACATCCCTAACTGAAGACCAACTTTGTCGCCATCCCCGTACTGCTTGACAAATTCTTTGTAGGCATCTGTTAACTTAAGATTTTGTCGAGGCTCCCATGTGGGTTCAGCAAACCCTTTCCAGAATACCAGGACTTTGCGACGCCCATTGATTGTTTCAGCGCGAACTATTTTCTCAACAGCATACAACGGATGTTTTCCATCAACTAACGGGGGCGGCTGTGTGTCATCGACTTTTTGTGAAGGCAGTGGATCATTTGGGTCATGCCTTAATAAGTCTACAAAAAATCGATTATGTATGCCTGTTGGTACATCTAGTTGATACACATCAGGTGCAATTTCTTTTTGTATTCTGTATTTTGCTTGAGTCCATGAGAGTTTCTTTTTTTGTTGCGGGGTTTCGACGTTTTTAAGGTTTAGCCAGACGGTATCGCCCGGTTTGAAACGTTCCGCTGGTCTCCTATGATGGTTGGCTGATTCTTCCATTAATTGCTGAGCTGTTGTCATAGCTGCCTGTGCCATGCTTTGACCCTGTATTATTCGGTCTACGAATGCTCGCGCGCGGGCTTGCGGTGATTTTGTTGCTCGTGAATTAGTATGTGTTTGTTGTATTGGTTCAGCATCATAGCCGTGAGTAACAAAAAATGGGCTAGTGCCAATAACTGTCGATTTTCTATTATTGAGTGCTAACATGGCAGTTGGGAGTAGTTTAGACCAGTCTATCTGCGAGTAGCTAATAAATGCTCGGAGGTAGTTTAACACTTCTTGGTTCATCCTTTCTGTACTACCATCGGTCTGCGGATGGTAAGCGGTCGACAATCTTTGGTTAATACCTGTCATTTTGCATAAAGAAGTCCAGAAATGACCCACCCAATTTGCCCCTCTGTCTGATGTTATAAATTTAGGAAACCCATGAAAACGATAATGACAAGTTAGGAAGCGTTCTGCGCAAGCTTCAGCTTCCATCGAATTCATTGCTTCTAGGGTGCAGCTCTTGAGTAAACGGTCAGTGATAACCATAAGATATTTGGGGTCGTCTTCTTTTTGCGCAGGCAAGTCTGTCATGAAATCTACCGACAACTCACTATGAAAGCGTTCAGGTACAGGGAGTGGTCTGAGTAATCCTTGCGGGCATTGACGCCACGCTTTAGATCGACTACAGATCGAGCAGTTTCGCGTGAATCTGCGAATGTCTAAATATTGTTGAGGCCAAAAAAATGCTCGAGACACTATGTGAAGGGTACCGTCTCTTCCGGGGTGTCCAGTAATACTTGAGTCATGAGAACGTTGTATGATCGTTGTTCTCAGTGGCTCCCAATTTGGAACCCATAGCGCACCTCGTCGTGTTAACGCGCCTCTGTCATCTAGGCTACAATCTGTCATTTGAACCCCTAATTTAAGGTCTATAGGTAAAGTAGACTGGCCTGCAGCGACTGATGCATGAATACTGTGAAAAGCTTGGTCTTTTTCTAGAGCTTCGTCCCACAAAGAAGCAATTTCCTTATCTTCAAATAATTTTTTGCCGCTGGGCATGATATTCTGGTCAGTTTCAATATGTTTCAAGGTCATATCCGGAAAGTCTACAATGTTTATTGTATTTAAGATGAATTCTTCTGGTGAAGACGTGCTTAAATTATTTTTGAACAACTGGATATTGCGGCCTTGTAACCGCTCGTCCGACGTATCCCGCGGGGCTTCTTGTGCCCGCCGCGAAAGAAAGTCTGGTTTACCGGACTGGGAGCCAGGCCGGAATACAATTTTGAAGTTAAACCTTGCCAAGGTCTCGGCCCATCTCACTTGACGTTCGCTAAGTTGTCTTGAAGTTGTGAAATATCGTAAATTTTGATGGTCTGAGATAACGGTAAAAGGATTTTCAACGCTTCGAAGCTCACCATCAAAATGGCGCATTGTTGTTATAATAGCGAGCAGTTCTTTATCATGAATGTTATAGTTTGATTCTGCTGGAGTCAATTTACGTGAAAAGTAACCTACTGGTCTTAGACGATTTTTTTCGTCAATTTGAGAAAGAACCCCACCGATAGCATAGCCAGAGGCATCTGCTTCCAAATAGGTTTCTTTCTCGGCTGAAAAAAGCGCTAATAATGGTGCTGAGGATAGCATAGACTTAAGCTTTTCGAATGCATCTTTTTCTTTCGTGTCCCAGCTCCAGCGGGTTTGTTTCGATGTGAGACTGATCAATGGCTGGGCAATGGCCGAAAATTTTGGAATAAACTCTCGGTAAAAATTTGCGAAACCGAGAAAAGAGCGGGTTTCAGAAACTGTCGTTGGTTCCTCCCAGTTTTTGATGGCTTCTATTTTGGCTGGATCAACTGTAACACCCTCGCCAGCTTTGATTACGAACCCAAGATATTTGACTTCAGACGTGGCAAAGGTACATTTGTTGATGTCTAACCGTAAGCCAGATTCTTCGAGTCGTCTGATAACTTCTTCAACCTTTTTATAATGGTCGGATAAATCACCATCAGAATAGATGATAACATCATCCATATAGGCTGAACAGTATTCGTCCAAAATATCTTGTAACACAGCATTTATGTAACGTTGAAAAGTAGCTGGTCC